ATTAGAGCCCCTGAACTTCCCTTACCTCAATTTTGGCCATAGACAAGTAATTCAGAAATATTGCTTAGCCATTCTCACCTCTTTGGAAAGATTTAGAGAAATCAGCGTACCTTTTATCAGAGCCCAGAGAAACCAGAGAGACTTATAAGATCAGAGAACCAGGGAGAATTTATAACAGATTTAACAGAGAAACCCTACAGAAACCCTTTAACACTCAGAAAACCCCATAAAACTCCTTACCTCCTCAACAGGAATTCTTAAGCAATAACAACAGTAGTATCAACACTAAGATAAATTTAGAAATAAGCCACACTCTTATTTTTCTTAGTGTAACTTTCCCGCAAGCTAGACAGGAGGGCAGTCTCACCCACACACCAATACTAATTCTACTATTTCATAGTCTTATTAGCTATTTTATCCCCTCCAAGCTCTTTACTCACTTGCTGAGCAGTTCCACACCGTGTGCGACTGTTCTTTGGGATCGGCTGCATCGAGGGCAGTCACTCGGTCGGATAGCCATACTCCAACACGTCGTAAGGAGCCAGTTTCCACTTCTTGGGCTGAATCGCGCACGGTGGCCTCTGGTAACTCTCCCTCAGACGGTTTGAGAAGTTTGGCCGAGTCCATGACGAGCTGGTGCACCCGGCGCGAACCTTCTGATACCGTTTTTTTGAAGTCCCACTGGTGATGATGGCCTTTTTCAGTAGATCGGCAAATCATCTGATTAAGTGCAGCCCATCCTCCCGCGCGTGTTTCACCTAGAATTTCGTCAACGCCCAGTGTGAGTACATGCATTCAAACATGTTTATCGTTGAAGAAAGGATGTGGCCATTGTTAGACTGGGTCAGAGTGAAATGTTTGTGGAAGGATCAGATTGCATCAATAAGGAATGAAACAAACATCAGATGAGACATGAGAGAGAGAAAAAGGAAACAAAAGAAGAGCAAGAGAAATGAGGACATACCTGGGTCAGAGTGAGATGTTTGTGGAAGGATGAGGAAAGGAATCCTTCCACGTACTCTGGCCCAGGTAAGCTATAGATCCTGTGACATGTGAGTGAAACTAGGATGAAAGGTGAGAAGCACAAGAAAAGAAAAAAAAAGGAAAACAGGAGAGACTGAAAGAATACTCCAACAGCCATGGCAGCTGAAACAAGCGTGGGCCTATGATGTGGCAAAGGTGTGTTGTTAGAAAGTGGCTGCATAGTAGATTCAGAGTGAGGCCAAGACTTACAGGAGTCGATGATATCCAGAAAACTCCTCTTGTGAATGTCTGGAGCATGTTCTGACCAAAGTTGAGCGGACTTGCGAGTACAGATGGCAAGTTTGGGTCTTGGGGTGTTGCAAGACTGGCTGTCTGATGTGTTCCTGGTTTCAAGCAACGGTGGAGGCGATTGACGTCGATAATGTCCCCAAACATGGCATACATGTGCACAGCAGCATCAGTCCCATTGCTCTTGATGTCTTCAAGAATGTCTTCCATATCAGATCCGTTCTTCAATGATGTGGGCCGTATCAACCCTAAAGGAATGCCAATGTCAGTTATGTTGAGAGGCAGCTGTTCTACTAGAATTCTACTTACGGGTTAAATTTATTGGGCCCTCCAATATCTCAAAGTTGGACTCAGCCTCCGAATCAGTACCTTCTGGCGGGTTTTCATCTGTCTTTGATGTTTTTTTGCGCTTTCGGGGCTTGGACGAAGACGGCCCAGCGGATGCGCCAGAGTTTCGTTTCCTTGAGTCAATGGCAGCTTTGCGAGGGGTGCGGCTATGAGATGGAAGGTCTTCATATGGCGGTGGAGGCTCTTGATCTGCGTTGTGATCGATATCGTGAGGGGGCTCTGAAGCTGGAGTGGTTGACCGTTCATCTGTGCTTCCAGGTTGCTCTTTAGATGCAGTGGTGTGGTTGGACGTGGTGCAAGAGCTCTCCTGTGGCAATTCAGTCCTTTGAATTTGTGATGAGGCACTCGAAGCATTTTGGGATTTGTTGGCTGTTGTGGCCTCTGACGAGTTGGCTGGTGTGGCCCCCGAGGGGTTGGGGGGCAGGTCGAGGGTCTCATCAGCACCGGATGTGCCGGGTGCACTGGAAGAACTTTGAGAATTGGTGGCTGTTGTGGCCTCCGAGGGGTTGAGGGTCTCATCAGCTCTCTGAGTTGCGGAACCCACACTGGATAAGCCACCGTTGGCTGATTTTGATAATTCGACGTCAGGTCTTGGGGCGGGTAATGGTGCACTGGAAGCCTTTGAGTAATCGGAGACTGTTGTGGCCTTGGACGCGCTGTTGGGGAGATCGGGGGTCTCATCACTGGAAGCGTTTTGAGCATTGGTGACTGTTGTGGCTCCCGAGGGGTTGAGGGGCAGGTCGAGGGTATCGTCAGCTCTCTGAGTTGCCGAATCAGCACCGGATGTGCCAATGTTGGCCGATTTCAATAATTCGACATCAGGTCTTGAGGCTGGTAATGATGCACTGAGATCCTTTGGAGAAGTGGAGACTGTTGTGGCCTCAGAAGAGTCGTCCAGAAGATCGGGGGTCTCATCAGTTTGCTGAGTTGCCAAATCAGCACCGGATGTGCCTGGATTAGCAGATTTTTCTTGACTTTGTTGGTCAGTAGGTGTCGTCGCCTGCTTTGGAGGCAAATTGGTGGAAGGAGGGGGCTGAGAGGTACGATCTTGGACGGCCGTCAAGTTGGAGGACAACTCAAGGGTCTCTTCAACCCTTTCACGATCAGTTGTGGCCTGCTTTGGAGGCACATTGGTGGAAGGAGGGGGCTGAGAGGTACGATGTTGGACGGCCGGAGAGTCGGATGGCAACTCAAGAGTCTTGTCGGTTCGGGGAGCTGCTGAATCGTCTGACGGGTCACCACTAGTGGCTGGGCTTGATGTGCTGATACTAGTCAATTTGGACCCAAGTGGGGCGCTTTTTGCTTGTTCAGTGGTTGGAAGGTCATCGAGTGGCAGGGCGGATTTTGGCGACTGGTGATGATTCTTGGTGGTAACCGGATTCTTAGGGCGAACAACTAGATCAGATGAATGACTGGATGCTTGACTATCGGCCGCACTTTCCTGAGGATTCGCCTCATCGTCTGAGCATTCCATATCAGATGGTTCTAGGCTAGCAGCTTTCTCATTCAGGTGAGACTTGGTTTGCGGATGGGTCTCATCTTGAGAGAGATTGGCTTGAGCGCGTGTGTCTTCTGATGGGCGCCTAGATTCAATGAGATGCTGAGTTCCATGATCAAAAGACTTGATCCGCTTGACTGATCTGCCGAGAACTGCTTCCGTGGACACTAGGTTCTGACAGCTTAGAGTTCGCTTGAGTTGAGGCCCTCCAAGTAGGAGAATGGAAGTTGAGTCGACCGGAGTTGAACGTCGAATGGTCACAATTGAGCTATTTGAAGTCTTGTGGGTTCGGTTTGGTCGAGATCCACAAAGCGGTCGACAGGGTCTGTAATTTGTTCTGAGGGGAGGGGAAAAGCTGATATTGGACAGATATCCAACGGCCAGAGTTTGTTGATATTGGTTGTGGTGCCGTTCTTCAGTAACCGCCAGGCTTGGTCGAGGTCCATAGGTGCAACGGAAAATTCAGATGGTTGTCTTGTGCAGGCTACTTGCAGGTGCGGATCGTGCGGCTGGGCTTGGACGTTGTAAGACTCAAAAAGTGATTGTAAGATCCTTTTTGCTGAATGGAGAAAGGGATGAAATGAGCTGCAAACTCTGCCTTTCTATATTATCAGAAAACAAGACCACCAAGGTAAGCTTGGCAGTTTGGTTGGTGATAATGGATTATGTTCAAAGATGGTTGTATAATTGTTGAAGGTTGATCTTGTTGTCCAAAGAATTGATTGAGTTGTTGATGTTGTTTCTCGTCTTGATGTCTTGATACTCGTGCTCTTCCTTGATGCTGTATATGTATAATGTAATAGAGGTGGTTCTTGAACCCAAAGGGTCTGGGAGCACTATGCTTCAACCAGGACTGGAACAAAGGACTGGCTCTTCTGTGTAATGTTTGTGAAATGAACTGTGTATATATTTCAATCTGTGAACTGTACTACTCGTGAACTTCTTGTGTAATAAATATATGTAATCTGTGACAGGTGTCCCACCAAAAATGTGTACTGAGTGGGATGAGGAGGGAAACAACTGGCAGGCAGAGGCCTCCTTATATAGTAAAATATGAGGGATTTTAGCCCCAAGGGACCCCCTGTATGAGGCATTTTAGCTGCCCTATCCTTGAAAATCCTGAGGGATTTTGGCTAGACTATCTACAACGCATTCCTTTTATATGTAAGCTGTAAGAAAGGAATTCATGTGTTCTATGGCTGAATAAATGGGAATTTAACTGGTACAACTCGTGGCCAACTTGTGGTTCTGTAAGAATAAAAGGAATTCAATATGGATAAAAGGAATTCTATATGCAATATGCAATATACCCCCATGCAATATACCCTCCAGCTGAGTGCCTCTAATCCTGTGATTCTCCGTGTGACATCCTTGATTCTGCGTAACTTCTGATCCAGTAGAGATATGAAGGTGGTTCCAGTGAGTGACTAGGGGTTAAATTGGCCGTAGATTCCATTTCTGACGTCCATTTGTCCATATCTTGAGTCCTTCATTGATAAATAATAAAATTTTTGAATTTTCTTCCTTCATACACAGGAATAATGACCACATCCTCCCCCAACTTATTGACTGTCCCCAGTCAATTCTGATTTTATGACTGTGTTTGAAGGCTTAACCTTGTGTATTTTATATGGTAGATTCTCAATTTAGATGTTGTAATAATAATAATAAACTTTGATAATTTTTATGTTTATTTAATTATCCATAATTCCCTGGTTGTGTTTGGTTGAGACTGGGAATTGAACAGAGGAGCCCTCTTATTTTCTAGAATTTTTCTCCTTGGGTGAGAATTGAACCCAGTATTTGTAGTATATAAAATTTCCTCAAGGGTGGGATTGGAACCCATGTGTGAGCCTGGGTCTCAAAAGTGACGGCAGGACACAAGGAAGGGGGGCAAAAACTAGATGTATTTCTGAGGGATAAGGAAATACAACTAGAAGGAGAAAGAGAGAGAGAAAAGGAATGAATAATATTTTTATTGTTTATTTATTTTAAAGTCAAGTCTTAATGCAGTCTTACTTTCCTTGAGAGGATGGCTGTTATTTTAGCGGAATAAATCTACGCCTCCTAATCAAATGAAACTGAGAAGGGCTATTGGTATTGATATGTCAATCCAACCACTATTTTTTAGATCAAAGATCAAGGTTCTTTAAAGGGAAACCTATGTGGTTTTCAGTTATACCACCAAACAAGAATAATGATGACCTAAAGAAGACTTGGATTGATGTGATGATGATTGGAGGCAGGTATTTAGTAGAAACAGGATGAAGGGTTCCTTCAGAGAGACAGAGAAGAAACTTAGCAGAAAGATGCAAGCTTGACTTGATGGAATGACTTACTATTTGGTGATCCTGACACTGAGAGTGGGAAGATTCCAAAGAGTAAAGGACTCCAAACGATAACACGGCGATGATACGGCGGTGAATCCAAGTTGAGGTAAGCTGGTTTTCTGGTCTGAGTTGGTTCTGGGTGGGTCTGAACCTTGAAGATCCTGAAAATGCGAACTCAGTGTCTACTGAGAAAATTTTCAGAGTTGGATTACATAATCACAACATGTACATGTGGTAGAGAGTTGGAATTCCAACTTGGTTGATATTTCACAAGGTACTGTGAAATATTACAAAGTCTATGAAGGAGAAGAGTAGTGCAAAAGTGTGTAGTGGTGTGTCAGCCTGCTACTATTTAGAGACAACCTGACCATAGCATAAAAATATTTAAAGAGACATTATTACATATACTACCCCCATAGCATATGTAATTAATGTCTATTTTATATGTACATAATATAGAGACATTATTACATATGTACATATAAAAAACATTAATATTTAAATAAGTGGAATCACTATAAAAGAGACATTATTACTCATTACATTAAATTTTACTAGTCATGAAATAAAACATAAAAATAAACCAAAAACATTTATAAATAAACATTTTTAACATGAATATACAAATAACTTCTGAACCTTAATCAAAAGTTAGAATATTATTTCAGATTCTTAATTCTCATGCAAAATAACCTAGGGTACCTCACCAGAAGCACCCCTGAATTATTACTCCTTCATGTACTTCTGTGTACTCTGAGTGACACTTGCCCATTTTGCTGAAAACCCTCCCAGTTACATCATACTACATGTTGTGACAGGTCTACACATGTAATTAAGGTTCATGCAGTTCGGGAAAAATCTACAAATAAGGTTGACATCATTGAAACCTTAATTACATTGTCACAACAACTGTAACTGGCTGGTCAAAAGCCATTTGTGGCCCTTTTTGGCCCAATTTGGCTAACTACGCCTGGTTAAGACCAGCCCACTGGTCATTAAAGGGTCCCAGTGACCAAAAAATGGCTGCAGGTTCGTCACAGCACCCCTTAGTATGTGTTACAAGCCTCACTTCAGCCCTCTGCCACCTGTAACCAAGGACTACAGGTGTCTAGGCTGTGCTACAGGTCACCAATGCCTAGTAGGAGGCTTGCACCAGCCAAACAGAGTTCTGAGTTCGCCTCCAAGGGCCCAGAATGAGTATATAGAGAGCCCTTCTTGACCACGAACTCAAATTCCCCATCTTCATTATCATTTACCAGCAATAACCACCTCCAACAACCAGTTTATCACCTGTTTTGGCCCAGTTCCTGCTGTTTCTGTCTTGGATATCACCAACCCAACCATCAACTGTTCCCCAGCACTCTCTCACCACCTGTTACCCAGTTTTCTGAGCGCTCCCAGACCAGTTTTCACCGACCTGAAGTCCCCTTGGCTTGGAAATAGTACAAGTAGGTAATATTTCCTTGATACTTCAGTTGTAGGCATTTTGTCTGGGCATACTCCTTTACACAAAGGACCATATCATCAGGTACATCAAAAATACCCCTGTTTAACAGGTCCTGATTCATTGGAGGGCACCATAAAAACCCCTGTAACTCAGGCCCCTCCCTTTATAAAAACTTAACAGTTTTTATTATCTCTTTTCTTAATATCAAACACCTCCCAATTTCAAGTGTTACCCACACTTGTACACCTTTTTTCTTAGCTTTGCACCTGGTGTAGCTAGAAGAGTCAAGCTCTTGGCATCACCCAGGCTGACAATTGGGGGTCTGGCCGGGAATAATTTTTATCTTTTGATAAAAACCTGGTACTATTTTTTTTTAAAAAATAAAACAAAAAATCACATTTCTTTACTCCTTCCTCTTGAATTTTTTTTACAAAAATAAAACCACCTAAAACATCTTATAAAAAGTTCAAAATAAATCCTAAAAACATTTTTTCTTACTACCTTTTTTTTAACCTTTTTTCCTTATAGTGGAATTACAAGAGACTTCGAGACTAATAAAATACTATCTTGAACTCTTTGCCTCCGAAAAAGCACAGCGCACAGCTCTCTATTGACCATCTCCCTGGGAATTACTTACTCCCCAAGAACAACGCGCCATAGCTCTCAAACGCGTAGAAAAAAACGAAGAAGACAGAATAAACAATCTGTTCGCCTTCAATTCCCTCAAACGACAGCATAAAGATCACCGCCGCAATCTTCTAGCAGAACTTAAAGCAAAAAGACTTTCCAAAAGTACGCGCTAACAAGTTCTTTCGCACCTCTCATTATTCCTTTCAGAAAAAACCTCGCTGACACCAACGAATTTTATTGCCTACGAGTAGTGTCGGTCACTTCTAGTTCCAGCGCCGCTACCACTCCTGCTGCCCATACCGCTGCTCATAGCCCAGTCTCAGGTAAATCACTTGAGCATCCTTTTTTCGTCATTCCTTTTTTTTTGACGATCAACTAAAAAAAAAATATATTTTTTAATTTTTTTCTTTGGGGGACAAACAAAAAAAATGTCTACTAGGTCCAATAACCCCAACCTGCACGGACCCCTCCCTCCAGCGACCCGACCTCGCCGTAGCAAGTCAGCTGGAGGAACGGGTGAACCGTTTAAAGTTGATAACGATTCAAAAGAAGATGGCTCCAATCGTTACGAAGGCGACGGAGACCTTGGCACACAGCGGCTTAGCCCCGATAGACGATCCCGCTATGACCATGGCGAAAAAAACTGCAGTCCCAGCAATGAATCCAGCGACCTTGGCTCAGGACGCCATGGACTTGGATCCCTCGGCGCAAAAGACTCCAGTCCCGACAACAAATCCAGCGACCATAGCTCTGGAAGCGATGGACGTGGATCGCGTAGCTTCAACCTCTTCGGCGGATATCCAGCTACTCCGCAAATTACCGGAGAAACAGGTTCTTTCCAAAGAAGAAAAGATCAAGCTCCTGACCAGAGAGCATATACACCTCTGGAAGAGGTGCTTAGCAGCCCAACAGTCCGGCTCAATGGAGGATCTAAAAATTCTGCTCCATCAAGCCCAGGACA